AATACAAAATAATTTTAATCTGTTTTTAAGCATGAATTTATAATTGGAAGAAAAGGTACTTACTTAAAACAACAATAATAGAAACACATAACTACCTGTCAGGATACTTAGCTGGGGAACTGATTTAAGGTTAGGGGTGTGGGTTTGCCTGGACTTATTCTGAATTCATCCATACTCAGAGATGTCACCTTACATCTGAGGGGCCGGCAGGAGACACACTGTTCGTATACTGCGTTGGCATTTCATGGACTCAGGTAGCCATATACATTTGAATGTATATGGATGGAGTTAGGGCGCAGCTAAGAGCTGAAGAGGGTGGCGGTGTTTCTTCCTACACTGTTATTACTTTGAGACAGGAAGGCGATCGTGGAGTGATTTTGTATAGCAACTTTGTTTAAGTCTTAAACAGTAGGCAGCTACTAATGTATGAGAAATAGATACATATTGTATCAGAATTTTCATTTGAATTTCCAGAAATACTAATAATATGCCATGAAGAGAAAGATATATGATCATCTATTTTTGGCTTTAAACTTAAACTATTTTACGTCAATTGAAAATTAAGGGAAATCCTGACATTTTTAATAAAGGTGTAATTATGTCAAAACATTATAATTTAAATTTAAAAGATTTTATAATTACAGGAAAAGATAAACAGGTAACTTGGAACTACAGTGTTAATCTCATGTCTGAGTTTCTCAAAAGACTGGTCTATTTTAAGGAGCTTTTTTTATTTTGTTACTCACGTGTCCATTTATGGATATTAGTACTATGGAAATCAGTAAAGGGAAGGGAACTGATTTCTCTGCAGAGCTCCCTTCATTTATTATTTATTTCACTTGAAATATGTGTGCACTGGAATCAAATGCAGGGAAGTCAGTTGGATCACGTCTGGTATTTCAGTTGAGTGTGGCTGTAAAAGAGACTTCATGCCAGCATTCCGGCCCTGAGATCCTGGGCCCTGCAGTTGGCGCACCGCTCACCCTCAGGGAAGGTCCTTGTCATAAATGGTGGTTTGGAGTCACCAAAACTGCTGTTGGAGGCAACTAATCTGGGCAAATTCATTAGACACAGTAATTTACAAAGCAGTTTCCGGTAATCTCCAAGATGACCACTTTTTACTGTTGCTCATTCCCGCTGCTTCCTGTTCGTTCTTTCACGACTTTCATGTCTTTCCCTCGCGTCTGCAGACATGCATATCCATCGTCCCACTGTGGGGACACTGTGTCGTTGCAGAGTCTGTTCTGTCAGTTTTCCTGTGTTTCTACATGCATTTTTTTCCCTTTTATTCCCCTCTTAGAGAGGTGAGCTCTTAACTTCCGTGTTATTTGGAACACTAGGGACACACACTGATACAAGCACACGTTACCTTGGCAACAAGAGATTGGCTGTAGGAAATCTGGAAAAGTTTTAGTCTCAGCTAAAATGCAAGGAATCAGGCTGCTCTGAAAGGGGTAGATTAAAAGCATCTTTAGCAAACAGTGTGAGGCTGTATGGCGGCAGTTGGGGCGGGGGGGTTGGGGAGAGCCAGGTGGGTTGATTAGTTCTGACTTTGGTCCAAACTGGGAATGGACTACTGTCACACAGTGTGCATCTGAATTTTTTTCCCTCTGAATATGACATTGAATCAGAATCTCCAGGGCTGACATGATTTATACACACACAGGAGATTCCTTTGTGCAACCATAGAGAATCACTGATAGAGTCAAGCTGATATGGTAATGCTTCTTAGTAACCACAGAGAAGCAATTATGCGTCTTCACTGATGGACAGATGAATGCTTAGAGCAGTGATCCCCACTCAAAGCATCAGAATCCTTGTATGAGCAACAGAAAAAAATCTTCCTTAAAAAATAATCTAAGTTGTCGATACAGTGAAAAACCCGCACATCATAACCAAGTAAGGCAAATTCCATAGTGAAACGTGGTTCAGTGTTAGGAAATTTATTAATATGTTTCGTTGTATCACTGAATCTGAACCATATAAGACCCAGTGTCCTCCTTTTTAACAAATATTTTATACTGTCTTTGGTGATCCAGAAATGAAATGCGTATATAACACAATCATTGTATACACGTCATTTAAAATAACACATTTATAATGTCCTAATATTTTATATTTATATGTAAATGTATATATATATGTTTTTGTGTTTGTGTGTCTCCAGCCTTCGCCAAGGGCAGTTATATGACTTAAGCAATTGGAAAGTAGACCTTCAGAGTATATTTTAAAAGGGTTACCACAAATCAGTTTGGAAGGGTTATTTGCAAATGATTTTGGAACAATCTGTTTGCTACAGTATCTGGGTACAATAATTTGGTTATTTATCATAACTTGTACATTAAAAGAAATTGCAATAGATAAAAATCAGATACAGATAAACTTTTAAATATTTAAAGAAAAAATAAATAACAGATTTCTGGAATGGGGGGAGGGATTTTCAATCTTAAAGAAAGAAAGGAGGAAATCACAAAGGAGAAGGCCGTTGCATGTAATTGAAACTGAAAACCTAAACACATCCAAATAAATCATTAAAAGCGGGTCTTCCACACACAAAAAAATAGAAGCCCTTGATTTACAGAAAGTCGCTCTGATGGGGATGATCATGTGTTGCATGCATCCCAAAATGGGCACCGTATTTTGATCATGAAGAGGAAGATAGTTTTTACCTGACAGACGTGAACCTAGAAAGTTCATCCAGCTGTCGTTGGTTGTCCAGACTGCAGTGTGCTTTTTTCTTCTTTTTTCCTTTTTTCTTTTCTTTTTTTCTTGACGCAAACACATATATTGGTTATCAACAAATACCAGGTACTATTCAAAGCAGATTGTGTATTATTAATATGAATTTATTTAAACCTCTTAACTATTACCTTCATTTTACAGAGGACACTAAAGCTCAAAGACATTAATTAACTTTCTCAAACATAAAAACTACAAAATAGTATTTAATATCTGGAAAACCAGGTAGTAAGTAGAGCTTCCAAGTTGGAGCATTTAATCCCTATGCTATGAGATCTTTTCTCCTTTCTCTATTGATTATTTTTAAGTGTGCCCTGTCAAGGTCGCTTTCCCGTTCCCACTGAATTCTCCACTGCGCCGCTACCTGCAGCCTAGACCTTTCCCTTAAATCTAGTTAGATCCAGATCAAACTTCATACTAGCATCTAAATTTGGCCAGAAAACAGACACTTCAACTCAACCTGTCCCTGTGCCAAGTGGAGCCCACACTGCCCTCCCAGAACGTCCCCTTCCCCTTTCTTCACTCACCTCACCATTTCCGTGGCACTTACGCACCAGGAGCTTTCTCCCCCTCAATCCTGGCATCAGAGCTGCCACCAGGACCTCTTACTCTGTCACCTTAAGGCCTTCCCCTCTGTCACTGCCTCAGTTCAGTCCCTCCTCTTCCTTCATCTGATTGGTCCCATTGCATCTGATTGTCTTTTTTTTTCTTTTATTTTACCGCTCATATTTTTTATTGAAGTAGAGTTGATTTACAATATTGTGTTAGTTTCAGGTATACAGCAAAGTGTATTCAAATAGATACATGTATATATTCTTTTTAAAATTTTCTTCTATTATACGTTATTTCAAGATGTTGAATGCTGTTTCCTATGCTATATATATATCGTTGTTGTTTGTTTTATATATGATATTGTGTATCTCTTAATCCCATACTCCTGATTTGTCCCTCTCCCCTCCCCTCCCCTCCCCTTCTGGTAACCATAAGTTTGTTTTCGACGTCTGTGAGTCTGTTTCTGGGTTCAGTTCATTTGTATCAATTTTTTAGATTCCACATGTAAGTGATACTGTATGGTATTTGTCTTTGTCTGTCTGACTTACTTCACTTTGTATTCTTTCTTTATGGCTGAGCAACATTCCATTGTGTGTGCACCTGACTTTCTTTACAACACATTCTCCATTGGTGTGGCCAGAATGTTCCTTCTCAATCTTGATGGCGATCTATCACCCTCCTGCCCAACCCCCTTTAATGCTTGCCGTTGTCCCAAGGACTGGGTATTAATTTGCTAGTAAGACTGACTTTAAGCTCCCCCCTCCAGCCTTTTTTCTTGTGAATTCTCCTGTCACGTGCCACATACTTACTTTGTTGTCAAAGATACTTTAAATTTTTCAAATAAATCTGGACGGCAGTATTCTTTACTTCAGGCAAAGTAGCATCTGAGGCCTGTGGCAGTGTCAGGGGTTCCTGTCATTCTTGGTAGTAACTTTAGCAGGCAAGGAAAGGAGTCCTTTTGGGAGGTGGAACCCTCAGATAAGCTTGAGTTATCACAAGTTGTCTACCCCTGTCGAGCATACTTTCCTTCCTTCCTTATGGGAATTCACGAGACACGTTGTAACACATGTACTTATCCTTTTACTGTTTTGATGCTTGTCTGTACTTTGAGTTAAAAATTAAGAGTGAAAGAGGTAAGTAATATGCTTGAAATGAAAACACGCTGCTCACGTTCTCGACTCTGCTAGCTGCCTTCTCCTGATTATTAAGAAAAAACATAGCTCTCCCTTTCCCCAGGATTAACTTCTCACTTTCTGAAAATCTCTCTGTCTGGTTGCTGGACTTCTCAGGTCTTTGATTTTGTGCTGCCTCCTGCCTGCCTTTTTGGCTGGCGCACTGCTAATTAACATGTCTCTCACCCAGTGGGCGGGAGATACAAGGCCTGGGAGTCCCTGGGTCCTATTTGCTTTTCGTTAGCTTTTCTAATGATAAATTAGACGGGGCACATTGAAATCACGGTATTAAATGGAGTTCGGGGTGATCTGTGGGGTTTTATTATCTAGGCCGTTCCTGTTTTGCATCATGGAAGTTGGCTGTTGTCACTGGGAACACAGAGACATGGAAGGCAGGGCCGGGCTGGCCATTAAGGAGCCTAGTATTGCATCTAAACGTGGCCATGTAACTCGCCGGTTGTTGATGTGTGTGTTGTGACGTCCCGCTTGGGCAGGCGACCCCAGGCCGCTCACCGCGGGTCCCCACGTTCCCCACAGGTCATGAAACGAGTGCGCACCGAGCAGATTCAGATGGCCGTGTCCTGCTACCTCAAGCGCCGGCAGTACGGGGACGCGGACGGCCCGCTGAAGCAAGGCCTGCGGCTGTCACAGAGCGCCGAGGAGATGGCCACCAACCTCGCAGGTAGTGCAGCCCCGCAGAGCCCTCCCGCCGAGCGCGTCCTCCGTCCTCCCTCGGGTACTTTTAGCTGTACCTGATGTGAGGTGCAGCTTTCTCCTTCCCTGAACTGGGGCAGGGTCTGTGTCCCCCTCCTGCATGTGTCCCCTCTCCCCCAAGCTGGGCCCCGCCCGTGGAAGTCAGGTGTGCCAGGTGGGTGAGTCCTCTGGGATTGGTGGTTGGAAACATTGACATCATGGTTAGGTTCCTGAGATTTTTAAAATGTGTTTTTGTGTTTGTTGTTTGTTTTGAAATTGGATGCTTTTTTAGAAAAATTTGTCTTGAGTCCGTCTTGGGGGAAAAAATCGTTACTTAGCTGTTTTGTGAATTCAGGGTTTTATGTGATGTAATTTTCTTCAGCTGAATTCATGTACTGGAGACTTGGAACATTTCTTCCTGCAGTGCTTTTCGGGAGCTTGTGAATGTCTTTAAACGGCCGGGTGCTGAGTCCCAGGGCTCTGTCCAGCCCGGCTGCCCCCTCTTGCCTGCTCAGGCCGGGCCCTCTCTCTGCCTTGTTCCTGTGCTTCCTGCCACTCTTCTCATGTCCGTCGCCACCACTCTATCCCTTAGTGGTTTCAGCTTCCGTGCTGGCAGTGGCGGCCCCCTTCAAAGTCAAAGACCCAAGCCCTTCACACCCTAAGACTATATTGCTGTCGGAAAGGAGTGATGGGCAGGAAACACCTGAGGGGTCCCCAGAAGAGTGGCTCCCGGCTCCCTCCGAGACAGTAGAGGCCCAGTGAGCACCTGTCTGCCACCTTACACTCCCGCGTCAGGCCCACCCCTCCTTCCTTCCCTTCACACTCCCCTGGGTACCAGGTGATGGGCTTGGAATAGATTCATAAATGCCTTACTGCTTCTAGTAGGGTGGCCAGTTTGCAGGACCAGAGTAACTCCTTGCCATCACAGCCTTGAATAATCTCCTGATGCCCCATGTTCACTGGAACCTGGGGACATAATTCTGTGCTGTTGTTGGCAGGAAAGAGAAGCAAACTTAAATTTGCTCTTCGTTGTCTTAGTTTAGATTCAGTGGCGTATTAGGAGAGTCACTCTTGTTCCTGGAAAACCACCAGGAAATGTGAGATGCGTGAAATGTGATTATCGTAAGATTTGGTCTTAGGTCTTTCTATTAATTGAGTCATCTGAATAATTATGCCTTCGTTCAGCAGTCTTGAACACCTGCTGTAGTCTTGAACAGGTGCTGAAAAGTTCTCGGGGTAGCGAAGATTTGATCATGGCTCCAGAGGTGCTTAACATTATAGTCGGGGAATGAGGCGGGTGAATCCGCTATCGCGGTAGCATGTGATGCGGTGGGTTCCCTGAAGGGGGCTGCCCGGGTTCTCTAGGAACAAAGAAGATAGTCAGCTCAGTGAGGCTGGCAGGTCAGAAGGGCTTCCTAAAAGGCCTGTGGTTCCCAGCCTATAGTCAGGGGTCAGTAAATCGTAGAAGGAATGAGCTGAGTTTCCAAAGAACCATTAGGAGCTTATCCGGGGCAAGTAGGAGGAGGGTACCCACGTTATCAAATGTGGATTCTGGAAAGGTCGCTCTGGTGGCAGTGTTGACAAGGGAGGGCCTGGTTTAGAACCAGGGAAGCTAGTCAGTTATGGCAGCCCCACCGAGAAGTGGGGACAGCCTGAGCCGAGAGCGGTGCTAGGAATGACAGCGAGAGGGTCTGTGTTAGGAGTCTATGGGATTCTGTACCACCCTCCAGCACATCCTGCTTCCGGCTGTCTCCGAGCTCTAGCAGGGGACACTGACTTTCTTCTCCTCTGTGCCCCCTTTTCCATTTGATGTTGTGGCTTCCCCAGCCCTGCTGCATTAATTACCATCCCCACTTCCACCTTCTAAGGTGTGTCAGTGTTTCATCGAGATTATTGTTGAAGGTGGTTCCTCCCAGTCCCCAGCTACCTTTCCCCAGCCATGTGCACCCCCCCCATGATTCCTGACCCCGGCAGAAAGGGTAGGAGAATTTTGCTCGACTTCTTAGAAAGCATAAACTCACAGAATGGAGTTGAAGTGCGTGTTTACATACTGAACATTGAGACTCCAGCCTTCCTTCTCCTCCCGCTGCCGAGAACACCGGCAGCCAGGCACATGCTGTCCAGGAAGGTGATTAAAGATTTGTTCCTGGTAGATCTACCCTGCCCAGCAGGAGAGACCTAGGGACACCGGCATTGGCCATCTAATGGTCCAATGGTAGATTGCCCATCCAGGTCCTCTCGGGTGATAAACGCGTAGAGTTCTCATCAGCTCTGGGGCGTCTCCCTTTCAGATAACCAGGGGCCGTCAGACCCTGGGAGAAACTAATCTAGTTGATGTGGAAAATGGAAATGGGAAGAGACAGTGAGCAGCAACTTGGAGGAAGCAAACAGCAGAGAGAAGAAAACTTCAAAAATGTAATCGATAGCTTTGAAACAAGAAGAGAGTGCTATTTTAAGAGGAGAAAGGACATTCACATAAATACATGACAGTAAAACTGGAAAATCAGTAGAAAGGTTGAGAGTTGAGGAAGCTTCCCAGAAAGGAGAGCAGAAAGACAAAGAAATGGAACAACGGAGAGAAGATTAAAGGATCCGCTCAGGAGATCTCACCTGGATATTGTAGGAGTCCCAGAAAGAGGGAATAGAAGACAGTCTACAAAATGATTCAAAAATACTCTGTCCGAACTGAAAGCCATGAATTTTCAGATTGAAGGGGCCCGCAGAATGCCCGGCCCGGGGGTTGAAAGTGGAGCCATCCCAGGGGTCGGCGTGAGACAGGGTCAGCGTGCGGGCTCAGCCGCGCCCCGGGAGCCCCCCCTGGTCTCGTGTGCCTCTCCTCTCTGGTCGCCTTATTTGTCCCGTGCCTCATACCTTTTGCCTCTCCGCTGTCATTTGATTGAGTATCAGGAGGTAGAGGAGATAGATGTGTCTGTTGTATGTGACCAGAAGCCCCAGCGTACTCTGAAAACCTGCCGACGTGTCAGGCGCTGTGATGCACCGGCAGCACCCTCTTCCGTCCGTCCTGCCACGCCGTGGCTAGCGACTGTCTTTCTCACCCCGTCTTGTGTGTCTCTTCCTCCTTAGTCCAATCAGAGTCTGGTTGTGCCAACATAGTGTCTGCGGCCCCCTGCCAGGCAGAGCCCCAGCAGTATGAAGTACAGTTCGGACGGCTGCGGAACTTCCTCACCGGTGAGTACCCAGCACTGGGGTCTTTCCTGATGAAGGAAGAGCGATGCAGATTTCCCTCAGAACCCACGATATTCCGGGTACGGCGCTAGATACTGAGGATTAACAGGTAGTTTAACACAGACCTCGCATTCAAACTTAGGATCTTTTGGAAGTCCTGAGAGTTAAATCATGAGGTGAGAGTGTGTACGGGCTAGGGCTCCGGGTGTGTTGCTTGCGGTTTTATCCGTGGCCTTCAGCACAGCGGCTGTGACTTGAGCTGAATAAGGGAAAGCTCGATCAGCCATGTCAGGGAAACACCCTTAAATGCAGCATGTTTGATTGAGATGACTGCTGTAACACGGTGCGTCTCAAAGTGGTCTTCGTCCCTTACCTCTGAAAATGCAAGGCAGTCATCCTCCTGAACCAGCAAGACAAACATAGGAGAAGCTGTCATGTAGACCAGTTCATCGATGATGTAATGACCACAGAACCATAGAACCAGAAGATACAAGTTCTAATCAGGTCTTCTAATTCACTCTGATTTTTTAATCACTTTTTAAAAAAATGGAGTCATTTAGCCTCTTGGAGTCCTTTCATTCTTCAGATGTAAAAGTGAAGGAGGCTATTCAAAGGCGAAACCAGGCAATTTCATCTAGTCCTAAGATGACTGATTATAATTTTAATATAATCAGGCCATGTTGATTCTGGTTATTAATCAAAGTCTTTTCTTGAGTACTTTATACAAAATCCCTCAAGGTATAAGAAATACAAAACTTTCACTGCCCTCAAAGGATGGAGAGTAATCAGCATAGTTAAAATACTTTGAAATTGTTTTCTTTTCTTGCCTTATTTGAACGATCCTCAGGTTAATAATTCTTAATGGTAAAGATTCACTGTAGGTGATCAATACATAAAGCAAAATAACGTACCTGATTTTACACTCTTAGAGAGGTCCTAATTTTATTTGGCTCTCACAATGGCTAGTATTCTAGAGGAAAGAATCCACATTTCCTGTATTCTGTAGTTGGGCACCATGGCCCAAATGTTACAGGAAATAAAGTTTACAAAATAAAACCCTAGAGAAAGTTATCAGTCTCACAGATCAGATTCATAAGTACAGAATAGTCTGTTAAATTGTTACAAAACTGATAAAATCGTGAAGATTAAAGGTTTAGTAAAAAGAGTCTATTATGTTTGAACTGGAAAGGAAAAAACTCCATTAAGATCCTCCCATCACATGAATGATAAATATCTCAGAACAGTGATCAGCCGCTTTCCACATCTACTTACGATGAAACAAGAAAAATTGGATTTATAAGAAGCATTTCACTCAGAGGTAAGCAGGAACTTGGAGCCTGTAAGTTACTTTTAAAATATATATATATTTTTATTGAAGTCTAGTCAGTTTACAATGCTGTGTCAATTTCTGCTGTACGGCCCAATACTTCAGTCATACAGGAATGCACATACGTAAGTTTTCATATTCGTTTTCACCGTAAGTTACTATGAGACGTTGAATATAGTTCCCCGTACACTAATGAGTTACTTATTGGCATCGGTTTTTGAGGCTTTGAGCAATTTTTAAATTTTTTAAATCAGTTTTTAGAAAGTTATCGTACTCGGTTTTTTAAATGCGATTATGATTTCTCCATGCTAGATCTCTCTCATCATTCTAGTGGTGAGGAAGCGGGTTTAGGAGAAAATGCCTGGCCTCTTTCAGCCTTTCTCTTTCATTCATTCTGCCTGCATTTATGTTGCGTTTGAGCACTGACTGCACGAAGCACTGCCATACGATGAGGGAAGCACACAGCGTGAAGCCCCGAAGCTGTCCTTGCCCTGGTCGGCCTCACACTCTGTGTGCTTCTGCTGGGAGATGGCTCTGGTCACGGGCAGGACTGATTCCCATTATGACGTTCAGATGACTGTAGTGACGTTATATCAATTTGTGTTTATATTTTTAAGCACTGAAGCATAGCTATAGCAAAATAGACTTATTAGAATAACTTTATATAGAACTACAATGACTTTGCAGTGAAGAATTAATACATTTAATTGATCACTGTTGTGATTTATCCTGGTGTAGTTTTTTGTTCAAACGTATCTCTTTGGGCTCTGGATGTTTTTCTTAAATATTTGCCAGAGCTCTTAATGGAGAATAGCTGTTGACCCTTTGTATTTTTTCCTACTATGTGTACCTTCTTTATTTTCAATAAATTGTAACAACTCAGCCTTTTCCTTTGCAATTTCTTGTCTTGTTTAAAAACTGAGAAAGTTGTCTGTTACTCTGTCCACAATTTATTTCTTTGGTCATATGTTATTTTGAGGGAGTGAAAATATGTATTTTTCCTTACAGACTGCTTTTCCTGGAACACTTTTCTTTATCCTCAGGTCTCTGAAGAGCAGTCAGCCAAATCAAATGAACAATTATTTCCTAAGCACCAAGATAAAGTATAACACATAGTCATTAATCTAAATTGGAATTTAATCCTAACTTGAGGGCTAAAAGTCACAGTTTTCAAATGAACTTTGAATCTGGTGGAAGTGTTTTCACGGACCAGCTCTTGTGCCTGTGGGATGCGTCTGGATGGAAGGAGAGGGGGATTTAGGTAGAGTGGTCAGAGGAGGCCTTACTGAGGGCGGGACTTAAGTTAGCACTGGAGACACGTTGGATTTCAGTGCCCAGTGGACGAGGACTAGGAGGATTGGGGTGCGTGTGAAGACCTGAGCGAAGGGGCAGAGATGGTGGTTCTTTGTTCAGGAGCAGTGAAGGAAGCGGCTTTATCAAGCACGGGCTTTCAGATTGGAGATAAAGAGAGACAAAACTGAGGAGAGATGTGACCCCAGGCCTAGGAGTGTGGACCTCATCCTGTGTGATGGAGACAAGCACCGGCGTGGAGGTGTGTGTGAAAGCGGTTTAGGAGAGTGTGTGCACAGGGGTGAGTGGAAGGCCAGCTCAAGCCCCCTGCAGTTCTTGAGAAGTGAGACAGTGTTGTGAAGGTGGAAAGCACTGTCTCGATTTCACAGTGAAATGTTCAAAGTGGGATCTCCAGGCCTCAGGAGTAAAGGAGGAAGAAGAGCCGAGAATGACTCCACGAGGCGGGCGGGGCGGGGGAACAGAAATAGTCAGGTTGTATCTTCTACATCCTTACGACAATGGTCCCCGACTGTGTAGCTCACAGTGTGAAGTTTTAAGGTTGGAATTTAAGAGAAAGATACAAATTTGTGATAAAGAACTCAGCATCAGCTCCACGGAGGTATAATTTAAAGTCTTAGGAGATGATAAATCTCAAAGGAGATAATAAAGACCTAAGGGTTTCTAAGGCTGTAACACCCTAAACATACTTCTCCGGAAGTTATCCGGGGGTGAGGGTCTGTGAGCTCACGTGTGGCTCTAGGCTCTTGATTTCAGGACGCGGACTGGGAAGAGACTGACTCTGGATTTAAACCTGGGGACAACCAACTCTTAGACGCGGCGTGGATGTAAAGTGTCTGGCTCGTAGGAGGCACACACAGTGTTAATTCTTTAAAGTGAAGTGAGCCCTTGGGGAACCACGGGAGGAAGAGGAGCCCCCAGGGCAGGACGGGAAGAGTCAGGCCGGGTACTGCTGCTTCAGAGCAAAGAACAGGTGTGAGGTCGGCGGCCCAGCCCCGCAGGGACGGGCGGAATGAGGGCTGGCAAGCTCGGTTCGGGTTCAGCTTGGTGTCCTTTTCACTACTGATTTCTGCAAACTCCATGAGAAACTCCGTTTTTCTCTTGTTTACCACCAACAGTGTGATACCAAGTAGGCCTTCGTTACACATTCAGTGGATGGATGGAAGGAAAGGAGGGAAGGAGGGAAGGAGAAGCCCACTATTCAGAGGATGTGTTACTCTGTAATTAGAAAAAAAATTTTTTAAGCAAGTACGCGTTCAGTAAAATATAAAGGTGTATGTTGTGATCACAGGGAACAAGATTAAAATTGAGGCTTGAGACTTAATGTTAGTCTCATCTTTTCCACATATAGAATATGTTGATCAGAATTTTATTTTATATCTAATATAAAATATCTCCCCTTCTCTTCAGTCGGGAGAGAACGAGTAAGCCACTTTGAAACTATGACTGAGACATCATTGAATTTCAGTAAGTTTTAAAGTAGCCCGTCCTTGATGGCAAGTTGTTTTTTGTTTTGTTTTGTTTTTCCTTAGAACTTATTACATTAAGTTCAGAAAAGTTAAGTTAAATGCTTCTCGTTTTGGAAAATAACCCTGAAACTAAGATTGTAAAGGGTTGAAAACAGCCCTTCATCCCAGTGGAATATATTGGAAGTCTGATTGGTCAAGGTTGAATCTTTGTTTGTTTTTTGTTTTAAGTAGTGTTTGGGGAAAGAGATTTTCCAATGATCTTCAAAAGAATTATAGTATTTAAAGAAATACCAAAACCGTATTAGCCAGGATTCTCCAAAGAAACAGAACCAGCAGAATGTACATACAGAGAGAGATGTATTTTAAGGAATTGGTTCACATCATACGGAGCCTGGCAGGTCCAAAACCTGCAGGGCAAGCCTGCAGGCCAGAGACCCAGAAGAGTCACAGTTCAAATCCAAAGGCCGTCTGCTGGCAGAATTCCTCCTCCCCCTCCCAGGGAGTTCAGTCTTTGTCCTAAGACCTTCACTTGATTGGATGAGGCCCACTCACATATGGAGAGTAATCAGCTTTACTTACTCTGTTGATTTAAATGTTAATCTCATCTAAAAAATACCTTTACAGATGCATCTAGAATAATGTTTGACCAAGTATCTGGGCACTGTGGCCCAGCCAAGATAGCATAAAATTAACCATTACAGGTCCAAACCCTGTGAACTTGGCACCCATACCCATCTCCTTAAACCATACTTAATCTCCAAATAACTGTGATTAACGAGGTCAGAATTGCACCTAACATGGTACAACCATCCTGAGTACAGCCATCCTGGGTACAGCCAAAAATGCACAAATCCCCTCTGCAGAAGCAGCAGCAGGGTTCGCTAGCCATGTCTGCTCTTCTCACGGATATTCTGTAATTTAAATACTATGATGTAAAATCAGCAATACTTAAATATTGATATAAAGTCAGTATAACTTGTTACATGATCAGGGGATAAGACAGGAAAGAAAACAAAGATATGTGTTTATACAGAGTATACGCATACAACCATTTCCGACAAAATAAGAAGGAATATGTATTTGATGACAGGTGCAGCCCTCGTCTCTGTACCTGGTCACTTGGTCGTAGCTGGCACTGAACTGCCTTCCTCCGCTACCCGTTCTGCATCCCCTCTGCCTTCAGTACGCCCTGCAGCGGGTGCTGGTGCTTTTCCTGGTGGGATGACTCAAGTCTCGTTCCTGCAGGGTCTGGCCATTGGCTTGTTGCAGTTTTGCATTCATCGTGGCCTCAGGCATGGTCACACCAGGAGGAGCTCTAAGTGACTCCTCTGACCCAGACACCCTCATCCCTGCCTCCACGTCGTTGAGCAGCAGCCCCAGCTCCCCGGGGCCGTCAGGGTCAGTGCCCGCAGCCAGCACAGGAGCTCCCGTTGCCTGCTGATTCCCAGGCAGGACCCAGAGACCCAGAGTGGCTGGGCAGCGGTCCTGACTTCCAGTTCAGCGGGACTGTTACAATTCCTCTAAGTCTGCATCTGAGCGGGAGCACATTTATTCTCAAATGCACATGCTGAGCAATCCGCCTGTGACAAGGTGAAAAGGAGTGTTAAGTGGAGACAGGCTCTGTCATGCTGGTTTCATTCCTCTTCCAATCAGGGAGACAAGATCCCCTAATACAGTGTTTCTGACTCGAGCCAGGTATGGATTCCTTTTCATGAAAAAGAGAAAAAAAAATGCTAGCTGAAGTGCTAAGGTGCCAACTAAAAGCATTTTTATGTTAATGTATTTAAGTATGCACAGACATTACACTAGATGGGAAGCCTTTATGTTTACTGTACAAAACCTAAACTCATCTGCAAATAAAGCACAAGCAAAACCACAAAAAGTAAAGTTCAAATTAACAGCAAGTGAACGTAGCGGATAGACTTTGCCAGATTTAACCTGCTGCTCCAGACAGGCCTGCAGGTGGCACTGAGGGCTGTGACACACTTGGGCCTGGGACAGCCTCTCAGTTTGTCTCCATCTAAATGGCTGCAAAACCTTTGCTCCATCACAGCTCTCTCTGCTCTCCCTATGCAGGTGTCACATACGCCTCTGCACTGTTCTCATTAGCCTGCAACAATGCAGGCTGCACGCTTTTCTGAACATTCTTTGTCACCTAGTTCTGTGGTGTTAAAGCCTCCGGAAGTGATGTAGTCATAATGGCGTGAAAACGTTCCGTTTGTAAGTTATCACTGCAGAAGAGAAGTAGTACTTTTCAACCAACAAAATCAAAATGAGTACACCGACAGATGCGGGGCCATTAGGGGTGAACGATGTCGTCTCAGGGTGAGGACAGGCCAGCCGGGGTAGCCAGGCATGCTGAGGAAGCCACTGAAGTTAGTATTTTGATGTTACTGCAGGTGATAGGGCCAAAAGCCATCACAAAAACGAAACAGCACTGAAACTTTATGTCAGTACTTAACTTGCTGAAGTCCATCCAGATAATGCCAGGTTTACTTGTGTTCATTGTTTTTTTAATTCTCAAGTTAAAACGTTTCTGTGAAGAGCTCAGTCTCCCAGTAATACATCTAAGGTCTCCCCAAGGTGCGAGGTACCCAGTTTGAGCAACACTAAAATACTAAACCTTGAAGACCGGGGTACAAGCTACCGAGCGGACATGAGAGCTTAGGCAAGTCACTCACCTCTGGGCATCAAGTTCCTGGTTTGTCACTGGCTTCAGGCCCATGTTTGCTGGACTGCAGGGTCCATGCGCGTCCTTCCTTGGTCCCTAGGCTTAGATGTCGGGTTTCCAGGATTCTGTGTTGAGCTTGTACTTCAGTTAGTAGCCTCAGAAAATAGGATCCTGGCAAGAAGAGGTCCCCAGGAGAGCACATTGTTCTTCTGAGATGATACTGATTATAAAGCCCTCGCTGTGTTTTTTTTTTTTCATTATAGATTCTGACTCCCAGCATAGCCACGAAGTGATGCCTCTCCTCTATCCTCTCTTTGTCTACCTCCACCTCAACCTGGTCCAGAACAGTCCGAAGAGCACAGTGGAAAGTTTTTACAGCCGCTTCCACGGCATGTTTCTGCAGAACGCGAGCCAGAAGGATGTCATCGAGCAGCTGCAGACCACTCAGACCATCCAGGACATCCTGTCCAACTTCCGGCTGCGGGCGTTCCTGGACCACAAGTACGTGGTCCGCCTCCAGGAAGACAGCTACAACTACCTTCTCCGCTACCTCCAGAGTGACAACAACACCGCCCTGTGCAAAGTCCTCACCTTGCACATCCACCTGGACGTGCAGCCTGCCAAGAGGACAGACTACCAGCTCTACGCCAGCGGCAGCTCCTCCCGAAGCGAGGGCAACGGCCTGGAGCCCGCCGACGTGCCCACCCCGATTCTGCAGAACGAGGCTGCCCTGGAGGTCCTGCAGGAGAGCATTAAGCGCGTCAAGGACGGCCCCCCCTCCCTCACCACCATCTGTTTCTATGCCTTCTATAACACGGAGCAGCTGCTGAACACTGCAGAAATCTCCCCGGATAGCAAGCTGCTCGCTGCCGGGTTTGACAACTCCTGTATCAAACTGTGGAGTTTACGATCCAAGAAGTTAAAATCAGAACCCCATCAAGTGGACGTGTCCCGCATCCACTTGGCTTGTGATATTCTGGAGGAGGAGGTACGAGTCTCACCTTTCCTTCCCTACACCTGCCTCACTTCTGTGCTTAGACTGTTCTTACCGAGCGTGGCAGGTCTGGCGGAGAGCGGCCTTCGTCGTCTCCCTCTCTGTGTAGCTAACAGCAGACGAGTGCCGTGCAGCCTGCAGCCAGCGAGTTCCTGCTCAGGCCTAACCTGAGCAGAGATGAAAACCGTGTTTAACAGTAACTGAACATGATCAGTGAAGGGGCAGGTATGTTACTACCTGAAGTGTGGGTAACGCTCCTGGGCCTGATGAAGGACCTTCATCAGCTAATGTTGCGATGTAAGTGCGTGCTTGTACATGTGTGCAAGTGTAAACATTAGAAGTGGATCCCTGGGTCGAAGGGCCTGCCTTCTTGTGACTTGGCGGTTTCCCAGTCTCATCGACACTAAACCAGGGGAAAGGGTGTAGCTCCAGTGGCAGAGCGCATGCTTAGCATGTGAGGTCCTGGGTTCAGTCCCCGGTACCTCCTCTAAAAATAAATAAACAAACCTAATCCACTCCACCCCCGCTAAAATTAAATAATACAAGAATAAATAAAATTTAAAAAAAAAGCAGTAAACGAGAACCAGTTTCTCTCCTAAGGGCCAGTGCATGGCCTCTGGCTTCACCCAGGGAGCCCCCAGCCCCCGTGTGGGAAGGCGCAGAGGAAGCATCCTTGGCACTTCAGCCCACGGTCGGTGTCATGATCCCGTGTGCTTTGTCTGGGGGTGGTCATTGGAAAGGGCAGGGCAAGTGACCCGAGTTCAGAGCACGGAGGGTCACTGCCTCAGAAAAACACAGGCCAGGAGAGCTAGAAACCAGACCTCACGGAGCTGACCTGTCCTGGGAGTGGCACCGCCGGAGTTGTGGGCTAGAGGACCTTGGTCCTACCGCCACGGAAATTCAGATGGCTCGGCCTCAGGTTACTTTGGATGGAAAATTCTTTGCACCAAGTTGAAAAATTAATGAGTTAAAAAAATCACTCAAGCTAATTACCAGCTGCTGATAAGTGTATCAAGAATATTAGATGTAATTAAAAAATAGAAAACAGAAAAATAAAAGAATATTAGGTGTACCAGTTAAGCCCTTTTTTACCTCTTCCTGTTTTCTGAGTCACCTTCCAGTTAGCATGGCCTTTGAGTCTTTGTTTCGTACAGCTAAGACCGTATAATTAGAGGACTTCGTTATGATGCGTAAAGAGTCTACATTCCAGTCTGCAAACATTGATTTCTAGAGTTCTGTAGTGCCTTCCAAAATGTACTTCACTGTGTGTGTATTTGAATTATCAGATTTCTCTTTTCCTTGGAGACAGTGCAAGCCCCTTGGGGTTTCTTCACACACAACTGACAGATACTGCCCTCGTCTACTTTTAGTTTTCTGTAAACACACAAAAAAATTATTCCTACTGGACCTTATTAGCTTTGATGGTACTGAGCCTGGGGGTTTATTCAAGGCATTAAAAAGTAATACAAAGGAAGATACCAAAGATAGATGGAAAGAACATTAGGCCAAATAAAAAACGTTAAGGCTCTACCCTGGTTTCCACTGAAGACCAGCTCTGTGCCTTGTTCTGTGAAGGTTCCCAGGTCATCAGAAGGCGTGTATCTGAGGACCCAGAAGTGAAGAGTAATGGGGTGAATTCCAGGAACTAAGAGAAATTAAATCTGGCTAGAGTCGGGCAGGGTAAAACAGGAAGCCATAGGGCGCCGCTGTCTGGGTCAGAGATGGCGGCGGGCCGGGCTCAGTGCTGGCCGGGGAAGGAGCACAGACGGTGCTGGGACCGGTGGACAGACCAGACGAGAGCGCGGGGCCTGGGCCGCAGGAGGGGAGGGGGGCTGAGGGCAGCACGTGTGTCGCAGGCTGGACGTCCACCTCAGCCAAAACAGGACGTCAGGGGAGTGGTGGTTCGGTTTAGCTATCTTTCTGGTTTATTTCTCATTATCCATATTGGAAGTCTGTAGTTTCTAGCCTCTGCTTTCCTCAAGAACAGTGTGATTTTGGTTTTGTTTTTTTATTTGTCTGTTTTTAATTTTAGACTAAAGTTGAGATCCTCCTAGTCTGGTTGAGGGGTTTCCACAGCCTCACCCCGATCCCCACCCATTTTGTCACGGCCATTTGGGGCAGGTTTCTTTTTGGTTTCTGACAAGGAGCATTTGGAGGGGAAGGCAAGATATACATTAGTTGTGGAGCTGGTTTTTAATGTTTCTCAGTGAGAATTTGGGGTTTCTGTTTTCCTTGTAGACATCACAATTAAAATCGAGCCTGTTAAATAAAGCAGAGGTCCCAAACCCAGATGCCTTAGAAGCCAAGCAGGTGAGTGGTGAGGTCACCTGGCTCAGAGATGGAAGGAACTAGGAAAGCACTGAGGAAACCAAATTAGGAAGTCAGGTTTCTGTCTCTGCTTTAATCTTTGTGAAGCAATAACTGTTGCATAACTTAGTGGATAAAACATTTTAACGGTAAATATTTAAAACAGCGGTCATACCCTGCAGTTCCATTCCTACGTGTATAACCAAGAGAGCTGAAGCCCTGCACCCACACGTAGACTGGTACATGGATGTTCGTGGCAACATTATTCATAACAGCCAAACAGTAGAAACAGCCCAGACGTCCTTCTGCTGATTAATGGACAAGCAAAATGCGGTGTATCCATACACTGGAACGTTCTTCACCATAAAAAGGAATGAAGCTATGTGATACATGAAATATGCTGTAACGTGGATGCACCTCATAAGCGCTGTGCTAAGTCAGAGAAGCCGGTCACAGAGAACCGCGTGTGGTATTTATAGGAAATGTATAGGAAATACTCAGAATAGGCGTAACACAGGGACAGAAGGTAGGTGAATGGGGTTGGGGGCCGGGGAGTGGGAAGCGAATGCTACAGGAACAGGCTTTCTTTTTGAGGTGCTGAAAATCTTCTGCACTACCTAGTGGTGAAGATGGCACAAGCCTGTGGATACACTAAAACCCATTGAATTGTACACTTTAAAAAGAGTGAATTTTATCATATGTGAATTATATTTAAAAAAAAACCAGTAACCAAAAGCTCTGATGTAAGCATAAAATTTTCTCTATTAATTATGCCACATGCAACTGGATATACAGCCCCTCCCCACAGTGCCCATGGTCCCCACTGGAAGATGATCGAGATTAGCCTTTGAAATCTGCTCGCTGGCCCCACCAGGGCGCCCCCCCAGTGCCAGCAGCACCTCCTGCTGCTGGAGGCGCGCAGCGTGGAGAGCGAGGCCTGTGATCCCTCCTTTGTTCCACAGGGAGTGGAGATAGAAGTGAGGTCCAGCTTTCGCGCTTGTTGACTGGTAACTCTGTGGCTTTTCCATGTGCAAGCAGCGTGGCGAAGCCCCGGCTGCCAGGTGGAGGATCCGCTCCACTTCCCAGTTATGTGGGCGGAGGGGCCCACCCCACCTTCATCACTGCCACCCTGCGTTCAGCCCCCGTCAGGTCGAGTCCTCCTTCCTCCAGCCTGGTCATCTCTCAGTGTGAATTGCGAAGGCAGTGTTGTCTCTAATGCTCATTTCTGTCATTGGTGCATAAATCTGCCAGTCACATCTCTGCTGGCCAAGAAGAATATAACATGAGCCATATATGTAATTTAAATTTTTCTAGTAGTCACATTAAAAGAGTAAAAAGAAATAGGCAGAATGCATTTTAGTAATGTGTTTGATGCAATGCCATATCGCCAAAATATTATTTCAATATATAGGCAATATAAAAAAAGAAATCAATGAAATCTGTTACATTCTCCCTTTTTGTCCCAAGTCTTAGAACCCAGCGTGTCTCTTACACTCACAGCACACGCGTCCCTCCACGCTAACCCGTAGTCCCCTTTTCCGTCCTAGTGTGGGCTGCCGTCTCCCACAGATAGCAGTGTCTTCGCTTGCTTCCCACCCACCCCGCAAGCCCAGCCATATTTAATTTCTTTCAGTTCCACTGGCAGCTAACTGGAGAATAGCCCAGGGCTAAATTTCAGGCCCCCAAAAGTACCCCTGATCTAGGACTGACTGCACTGTGAGCGGGGGTGCCTGGAACACCCCATTCCAGAAGCAGATGTCCACAGCAAGTCAGAGATTTCAGGGATTCCATGGCCTAGCGCAGGGTCAGCAGCCTGCAGCACAGAAGACGGTATTTGAAAATCTGTTTATACTTTTGATTCTTTTTAAATTTTTGTTTCCAGCATGTTTTATGATGTACAGAACGTCATTATTACATGAATATGCTTTATAAATCAAACATCCCTGTTTGGGGTGCATGTGGGGTGCATCCCAAATAGGAACTTCCTGTGGGGTGATCTGACACTTGCAGGGAGTTTGGGGTGTTGGCCTGGGAGGGAGGAGAGAGAATCCGGGGCTGGGCCTGTGCTCACGTTCAGCTGCTTGCTTGGGGCTTCTGCTCGGCTGTGCAGAGGCCCTTGTGGGACCAGCTTAAGCCACAGAAGAAAACGTGGCCGGGTTATTTTAAGCTGTGGTCCTGGCAAGGGGCTGATAATGATAGCCAGCAGGAACGTTCTGGTTTCCCCATTTCTTGGTTTATGGAGTCAACCAGGCTCTTTTCCAAAGGCTTCGGACAATCACAGGGACCCCTGGGAAGTGCCAGCCTGACTGGTGGCCGCCCCCCTCCCTCCATCTCTGAGCGCGCAGTGGTGGTCCCCACTGAGGAGGTGAGGTCCACTCCCACAACGAGTTGCTCCAAACTGAGACCACTTAAGCCTCAGAGATAGTACTGTGTCCTTCAATCCGCTGTTAACTTTCAAAGGATCTTTGTGTCATCTAGGGTCGTCTTTTGCTCCCACAGTTCTTACATAAACTTTCTGGTGTAGAGCAATGAGTCATTCTTGAAATTTTAAAGTGTTGTTGTAACCTCTTTGGAAGGGAGAAATCACTAATATTCTTGGTAACGCTCAGTAGAACCTTAAGCTCCCAAATGCTTATGTATTTTTAATGCTGAGTATCTGGAATAGCCATTTTGAATATTCATGGACATCAGTGTTTATTTTCTCTTAACTTGTCTCAAATATGTGCACTTTGGAGGCATTCGTTTTATTCTGAATTTAATGGTTTTCAAGTAGAAGTTGAAAGGGTGCCCTTTTCCTGTACAGAGGCTCACAGAGATATTTATTTCTAAGCCAGCAAAGCCAGTTGGTTCAAGAAGCTTTATCTTACTCCTTATTCTTCTCGTGTGTAATTAAAACTTTTTCAATGTGTGAATTCCAGGATTGAGACCGCTGTAGTTTTAAGGAGCTTGCCTGTGAGAGAATGAAGGGCAAATGGATTCTGAACACGGAGTGTCCTTGTGGGGACGAGGATCAGGAAGGGGACTCTCCCCCCACCACCCCCCATGCCATGAGGCTTCTTTCCTGTCCCCACACATAGGAATTTACTTCCAAGAATCACAGGAACCACTTGGCTTTGTTTAAAGCAATTCAGAATCCATGCCTTGTTTTTACTTTGAGAAATATTTGAGACCCTCCAGAGAATCATGGTTTCGAAACTTTTATTTCTTTTTGGACACCAGGAGTTTATGCCTGGTCACAAGGTGTGAGGCTGACTCATTGATAACTGTACCTTTCTGGCATAGTGTTAACTCTGTTTAGAATTGAATCTAGGCCTCACTTTTTTACCTAATGTGCAATTTGGGGAAAGTTGTTTAACTTCTATGGATGTCAGTTTCCTTATCTATAAAATAGTGATGATAATAGAATCTACCTCCTTCACTCGAGAGAATCAGGAGCATTGGTTTTTTTTTCCCTCTTTGTCGCAACGGACTGGGGCGGTAATAATAGAATCTACCTCACTGTTCTATACTCAGTGGACCCTTGAACAGCTCTGGGGTTAGGGCCACTGACTGACTACACAGTCGAAATCCGCATACTGATTAAATCTTTTCAAGTGACATTATCAGAACAAACAAAGTTACCATAAACTACCTTCTACCTTCTGATCGACTTTTGCAAGTCTTAGGTCATCCTCAACCTAAGAGTAAGGTCCAGTCTTTGCGCTGTAGTAGTAGACTTGCATCTCTGTGTCTTTTGACTTGATAAAGCCTTAGCTGCAGGTGAATTTAAGGGACGTGATTTGTTTTTTATTCAATTCTTGAGCTGTCTTCCTGGAGTCACCCTTAAGGGCAGGAGTGGTTTACTGGGTAGGCGCTCTCTCCCAAGCAGTGTTGGTCCCCCCCGCCCCCGCCCGGGACTTCTTGTTTTCCCTGGCAAAGCACTGAACACTCTTTTCTTGTGTGTCTCCTTTTCCTCCCGCCCTCCCCGCCCAGGACGATGAGGACGACAGCGCGGGCACGGAGATGAAGGTCCTGCGGGGCCACTGCGGGCCAGTGTACAGCACCAGGTTCCTCGCAGACAGCTCAGGGTTGCTCTCTTGCTCTGAAGACATGTCCATCAGGTACTGGGACCTCGGGAGTTTCACCAACACTGTGCTGTACCAGGGCCACGCCTACCCCGTGTGGGACCTGGACATCAGCCCGCACAGCCTGTACTTCGCCAGTGGGTCCCACGACCGCACGGCCAGGCTCTGGTCGTTTGATCGGACGTACCCGCTGAGAATCTATGCCGGACACCTGGCCGACGTGGACTGTGTCAAGTTCCACCCTAACTCCAACTACTTAGCCACGGGCTCGACCGACAAGACGGTCCGGCTGTGGAGCGCCCAGCAGGGGAACTCGGTGAGGCTCTTCACGGGCCACCGCGGCCCCGTGCTGTCTCTGGCCTTCTCTCCCAACGGTAAGTACCTGGCATCGGCCGGCGAGGACCAGCGGTTGAAGCTGTGGGACTTGGCCTCGGGGACCCTGTACAAAGAGCTGCGAGGCCACACGGACAACATCACCAGCCTCACCTTCAGCCCGGACAGCAGTCTGATCGCCTCGGCGTCCATGGACAACTCGGTGCGCGTCTGGGACATCAGGAGCGCCCACTGCAGCGCGCCCGCCGACGGCTCGTCCAGCGAGCTGGTGGGCGTCTACACCGGCCAGACGAGCAACGTGCTCAGCGTGCAGTTCATGGCCTGCAACCTCCTTCTGGTGACTGGAATCACGCAAGAGAATCAGGAGCATTGATTTTTTTTTCCCTCTGTCGCAACAGACTGGGGCGTGCGCAGGGGCTCCAGGTGGCAAGTCTGAGGACAGACCGCGATGGAATCACTGACTGTGAAAGACTCCCCCGCTCCCCCCCCCCGCTCCCCGCCCCCCCGCTCCCCTCACGGACACCCCGCCCTCACTCGTCAGCCTTCACTCAGCCCCGCAGGGTCCAGGGATTGGGGGCGAGGAAGGGCGGCGACAGGGAACCTGAGATCAAGAATCACAAATATCCCACTGTGTCCCTGCGCGAGCCCCTCCCTGTCTCTGCTCGTCTTCCGAGGAGCCAAGATGCTGCTTGCCTCCCCGCCTCCCCGCCTCCCCGCCTCCCCGGCGCTGCATTTGGTCCAAGGACGTTTGCTCCCACTGGGAGCAGTGCTGCGGGGCCACCGGGTGGAAGGGACTTTATCCGGGAGGAAGGCGTGGGTGGGCACTAGGAAAGGGGGCAGGGTAATCCTGGCAACACGTCTTTCCTTTCCCGTAATTACAGAGAACCAGGATTTTTTTATTATTGTTATTATAATTATAATAATTATTATTATTGAGAAGAGGAAACCTAGCACTGGCAGAGGGGGCCTTCTCTGCTCTCATCTTTCAGGTTTTACTCCTGGCACTGGCTGTGATACTTGGAATTTTGAGGTTCAGGGAATTCAGAGAATTTGGTAGCACAGTGTATGGGAGAAAGGGAAAATTTCTGGGTGACAGATCAATCACTCTGGCTGACACGTTTCTCGAAGTGGGTGGGTGGATCTGATTGAGAAAGTCTTGGGCTCTCGCAGTGATGGTGGGAAAGAAAGACTCTTTTCATGACTGCATTTCTCTTAACAGTTCTCTCCCCTGGAAGGACAGATTGTGGTAAAGAAATGAAAATAACTTGAAGTGAAAAGTCAAAAGGTAGAATTAAAAAATGTTGAATTTTCAAATGATTCAGAGGTGTGGCTTTTCCAGTGTTGCTCTCCTGAGATCGTCCCTCCCACCTCCTGCTTCGCAATAGCAGTTTAATGAACACTCTGTGAAACGAATCTTAAGTACGTACACGCGCAGACAGACTATGCTCTGAGGATAAAGCAACTTCTAATTTGTGGGAAAAGAATTAAATATTTCTGTTTTCTGAAAAGAGTTATTTTGTATTTTGTTTTCTATTAAAATGTATTTAGTTTCCAAAAAAAAAAAGTGTTTTGGCATCTCTTTTAAACTGAGGACAGGCGGGTGTGTGGGCTGCTCTAGAGTGACACGCGGCTCCCCGCTCTTCAGGATGACAGCCGGTTATGTAGGCCGGACACGCCCAGGGAGGGCCTCCCATCTCTTGTACTCTGCTCAGCCTGCTTCAAATCGTGATTCCTCTTGACATTCACGTGGAGTCACAATAGCACCGAATACTTTTTATACCTCCAGGATCGCCAGCTGCTGACCAGAGACAACATGTATTTCCCTATCTGGAGTTACTCAGTGAGATTCTATTTCCAGCTTTTCTTTGAAGACCCCCTTATGAAATCTCCCATGGGCATAAAAACAGTGCTGTTTAATTAACTCAGACTATTTATTGAACAATTCCAGGTAAAGGCCTCATTTCAAAGATTTAAATGATGTAAGAATTTTTTAAATGTATTTTCAAACATAATTTTCAGGAAAGGACACCAAGAAGTATCAGGAAACTAAATAGGAAGACTAGAGTTCTATGCCAAAATTTTTTTTTTATTTGCACCTAAGGTACTAATTAACAGGAAATGTTTCTTATTCATAAAAATCCATATAGTTGAGACATTATAAGGACTCTTTGGCAGCTTAGTCACACAGCATCACCTTTCACACGGTCTGCAGGTGAAGCCTGAAAGTGTGTTCTTATCTGTAATAAGTGAACTCTTACGTTTGATTTTGTGGAATATTGCCAGAAACAATCTCTAAATAGGGCTGAATCTTTCTCAAGTGAAAATATCACTGATTTGGGGTGATTTGGGGAAGTTTTTATGTTTGTCTTTTAACGCAGAATTTCTTTGATTAAACACAAAAATGTATTAAGTTGGTCAATCTCATACTACCAGTCAAATATAATATATATGCTTTGTGATTTCAGTTCAGGCTCTTAATAATCTGCATATTTGACCTTTTTCTTCTGTGAACTAATTTTAATCTGGGGTAATTTAACTTTTTAGAATGCCCCTCACAACTTCCCGAAAGTCTTAGAAGCGTTTTAAGGGGCATGTATGTCTGTGTCCACAAGGGTGCGGAAGAACACGATCACAGTCTACAGTGTGCTTTCTTGCATTGTTTTATTTTACCTTCAGGGCAGTCCTGTGAGGCAGGACTAGAGCTATTACCATTTTGTAGATGAAATAACTAAAATACCCAGAAAAGCCATGTTATCTGTCTGTACCCACCATGGACTAGTCTCAAGTCTTGAATGTGTTACATAAAGGGCATATATTCAGTATCCTCAAGTTCCAGCTGGAGGGTATAACCCTAAAGATAGAAAAACTTGAAAAAAAAACAACTCCAAAAAGGAAATATGAATGTAAAGTTATTTAACAGGCTTATAGATAGTGCTTATTCTCTGCCAGAAACTACCCCAAGAGCTTAATGAAAACTAACTCATTTTGTCTCCATTGACAACCCTATGAGTTGTCTCTTTTCTTTCAGTTTAATTTTATTTTTTGTTTTGGGGGAGGTAACTAGGTTTATTTATTTACTTACCTATTTTAATGGAGGGACTGGGGATAGAACCCAGGACCTCGTGTATGCTAAGCACGCACTCTACCACTGAGCTCTACCCTCCCCCTGAGTTAAGTCTCATTTTTATCCCCATTTTACAGATGAGGAATCTGAGGCACTGATGGATGAAGCCGAAGGGTCATCAGTGATACGTAGTGACTGACGAAGCCAGAATTTGACCCGGAGTAGTCTGGGTCCAGGGTCCACACTCTCACCCAGGCCGATGCCTTCCTCCTTTCCCACAGAGCCAGGTTAAGAGTGACTGAGGTTAGCAATAACGAGACGCCCCTGGCAATGGCTACAAGACTCATGCTTCCCTTTGCCAAATAAATCAGCAGCGACTGCAGGATCAGAAACTGGCAGTGAGAACAAACTTAAACAATACATGGCTGAAAGAAACTTCAGAATATTCAGTAATTTCAAAGCACAATGATCTGTCTCTGCAATGTGTATAAAGTGGGGGTGGGGGGAACCCAGCTGAAATCTCTTAGACTGACAGGCTTAGAAAATCTGTAATTTTAATTTACTTTTTAAGGTTTTTTTTAATTGAAGTATAGTTGATTAACAATGTTGTGTTAATTTCTGGTGTACAGCACAGTGATTGATTCATTTATACATATATATATTCCTTTTCATATCCTTTTTCATTTTAAGTCATTATAAGGTATTGAATATATATACTTTTGTGGGGGTGAGGGGCTGGGGGAGGTAATTAGGCTTACTTATTTTTAGAGGAGTTACTGGGGACTGAACCCAGGACCTCCTGCATGCTAAGCATGCACTCTACTGCTTGAGCTATCTATCCCCTGCCCCTGAAAATCTGTAATTTTAATTTAGCAATAGACTGGCCAAAAGAGAGAGAAAATTAGAATAAAGGAAAGTAATGAATAGTAATAAAAGAAGAAATAATTTAAAGCTTTTATATTCTAGAGCCGGCTTTTAAGGATAGCCACCTCTAGTAGCTTTTCATTTGTTTTATTCGTGTATTAAAAACGTCTCGGTTGTATAAGAGAAAACCTGCTTCGTATGTAGTCTTCTAAGTTTGATGTTGCCCCAGCTGGTATTAAGTGTATGGATTAAAACATTAGTCTGTACTTCAACTTGCCTTTCAGTTGCATGTTTTAGAAAAGTGCCCATTATATCCCTGCCCAGCCCACATTAAAAATTCTTATTATTGACCCCTGGAAATCAGCCAAATGACTCAAACTGCTTTGTGGTCAACAGAAAATCCTCACCGTGGGAATCAGAGGAGTGCAAATGTCCCTTGTCAGTTTCACCCACGGAGAGGCAACCACGATGCTCTCCTAAGATTGACTGCGGTTCCTAAAAGAAGTATTTTCATATGAAACATGTGTCTGTTATAATCAGACACTGTGTTAGTGGGGAGAGTGAGCAAACTGATGTAGTCCTGGCTTGAGTTTATAGTTTAGAGACGGAGGCAGGTATCAATTAAATAATGCTCACACACACATATCATTTCAGTCTGTAGTGAGTGCTCTAGTGGGTGCTATGGAAGAATACCCAGGGATCTAATTTAGGTCAAACATTCAAGGAAGGGCTCCCTGAAGAAGCAATTAAGCCGAGACTGGAGGGTAAGTAGGAGTTAGCCAGGCAGAGTTCAGGAAAAAATGGTTCAGACCCCCAAATGGGAAAGAACCTGGAACACTCCAAGTCCAGAGGGGCTGAGGCAATGCGAGTGAGAAATGTAACAGCCTGACGTGAGTTTGGGCAGCGTCAGGAGCTTGGCTTTGATCCCAGGTGGGAAGGAAGCCACCAAAGGGTGTAGAACAGGGAAGGGACGCAGTCAGTCCAGTTTCCACCCCAGCGTCACCGGCAACAGGAGGGCGTACAGACACCATACTTACAACTGGAATTCACTTCAACATCAGGACAAGCAAGCAACATTTACTGAACCCAGGCTACCACACACTGCCAGGCACAGCCGGATGAGCTGCCCTGCAGAGTGGCCCCCAGGGCAGTGAACTCAGAATGACTTCCAACTAACAGCCAGTAGGACCCGAATCCTGCCAACAGCCACACAAGGGAGCTTGGGTGCAGATCCTGATCCTGCTGGGCAAGCCTTCCAGAGGACTGCTCCGGACCGACCTGGGGGTAGAGGCACTCAGCTGAGTGCCAGGGTTCCCAGCTCACACTAGGGTTTGGGCTGGCTTCTTGTGTAGTAATGGAGAGCCAGCCCATCTGTCTTACTCCACAGTCCATTCTTTTAGCTGCTGCACTATAGAAAATGAAATAATTACTAATTTAAAAAATTCAATGGCAGCTCTCTGAAACATAGATTGGGAGTATGCGAGGGAGAGCCGGGGGTCAGTTAGCATCACTGCTGTTGCACAGGGGAGAGGTGAGGGCGACGCAGACCAGAGGGCCACAGGGCAAATGGAGAGAAGCAGACAAATCCAGTGAGTACCTTAGACGGGGGTTTGGCTGGACTTTGTCCTGGGTGGGATGGGGAGGAAAGAAAGGAATTGTGGTGGACCCACATTTCTGGCACGAGAAATTTGGTAGATTGGGTCGTCATCTATCGTGATGGACATACTAGAGGAAGAGGACGTTTGGGGGAAAAGAGTTCAGCTCAGGACCTCTAAAGTTTGAGTGCTTAAGAGAGAACCACGTGAAGATGTCAGACAGGGCTCAGGAGACGGATAGACAAGTCTCTCTCAGGAGAGAGCTCAGGCCTCAACACGCTGATTCGGGAGCTATAATTCATTATAGAGCTTTCAGCCACCAGGGACAGAAATACGACTCCAAGTGGTTTTAAAAATTAGGAATTTCATTGGTCCACATAAAGTCTAGTGGTCAGGTGGGTGTCACGTGCAACTCGCTAAGGGCCTCTGCTCTGCTCTGTAAGCCCGCTGCTGCCTGTGGCTGGTTTCATCACAGGTGAGCTTTCCCAAGGTTGCTAGAGCTGTACCAGCAGCAAGAGCCAGACACCCCCTCCTTCACATCTAGTGGGAATGTGACCTGAGCTTCCCATTCCTTGCTCTTACGAGCAAGGGGAAAAAAATTCTAGAAGCCCCATCAAAACTCTTCAATTTGAATTAGGCTAGCTCATCACTGAACCAGTCTCTGACAAGAGCGAGACTCATTGGCACATCGTTGGAGTCGAAGCCTTGCCAAGAGATGTGACTGCCAATGATACAGTGAGAGGAGGTGGGGGCTGAAGACTATTCCTTGAAGTTCTCTGACTTTTATAGGTCAGGAGGGTGAACAGCCAACAAAGGAAGAAAAACAGGGAAGCGCACCATTCAGAAGCCAAGAGCAGAAAGGACTTCAAAATAGAAGTGGTCAGCTGTGCTACAGAGATTTCAGATATGATAAGAATTCGAGAATATCCGTTAGATTTGGTGGGGAGATGGCCGGCAATCTTAGCACTAGAAGTCATGGTTGAGTAATAGAAATGGAAAGAGCATTGAAATCGATTGAAAGTGGAAATGTAACAGGAAACATGAACACTGTGAAAGTGACCCAAACAGCAATGGAGGAAGGACAGAGTTTTTACTACAGTCAATTGGCTATCCATAGGAAAAAAATAAAATTAGACCCCTACCTTGCTCTACACAAAAATCAATTCCAGGTACGTTAAAGATCTAAATGTGAAAAGCATTTAAAAGAACATTCTCATGACTTTGAGACAGAAATTTCTAAAGAAACAAAAGGCTCTAACCAAAAAAAAAAAAAAAAAAGGTTGATTAAATCTGAAAATACCCAATCATCAAAGGAACTCATGAACAGGCTGTGAATGTGAGCAGGTACCTGTAACATGTGAGGGACAGACACACGTGTCTGGAGCCACACCGTTCAGGAGAATCAGCTGTGTGATGGAAATGTTCTTCAGTCTGTCCTGTCCTATAGAACATTCTGGGAAAATGAAAATATTCTCTAGTTCTATCCTATAGAATGTTCCGCAAAGACGAAAATGTTTTGCAGATCTCTGCTGTCCAGTGAGGTAGCTGGTAGCCACCACGTAACTCCTGAGCATTTGAAATACGGAGAGTGTAACTGAGGGGCTAATTTTTTTTAATTTTATTAATTTCATTGTAACTAACCACGTGAGACTATTGGCTAACATATTAGTCTACAGAATTCTAAAACACATGAAAAAGTCTTACAGATCAGTGAGGAAAAATGCATACAGTCAATGAGGAAGAAACGCAAAAGTCTGAAACACTTCACAAAAGAACCTCAAGTGGCCAAAAAACAAACTAAAAATTACTCATCCTTGTATTCCTCAGGGAAATGCAAATTTAAAACAATCAGATTCCATTCTATACACATCAGACTGAGCACACTGTGAAAGCCTGGCAATGCTAAGTGTCGGTGTGCCGGGACCCTCCCAACACGGATGAAAATGCAGATGAGTGACCTCTTTGGGAAACAACACAGAATTACACAGCAAAATTGGAGAAAGGACAGCTCTGTTGTCACCAGCAATCCCACCCCAGGTCGAGGATGCACGCTTACATCCTCCAGGATACAGACATGGAACTGCCCATGGCAACAGTGTTCATCATTTCCCAAAGCTGGAGACAAGCGAAATGCCCATGTATAGGAAGGATAAACACGCTGTTGAAGAGTCACAGACGGATAAACCACAGCCAGTCAAATGGACAGATCAGAGCCTCAAGCAATGACGGGGAAGAACTCCACCTTACAGCCGGCACCGAAGAGACAGAAAGACCAATTATTCCTACAGAATGACTCCATTTACACAGCTCAAACACACAGAACAACTGTAGATTTTGGAGTCTGTGTTCA